TTGTTACCGGTGATGATGATGTCATCAACATATACCAGAAGGTAGATAAGAGAGCCCGGAGATTTGAGGATAAAAAGTGAGGGGTCGGTTTTGGACCCATAAAATCCCAACTGTTGAAGAGCAGTAGACAATTTTATGAACCAGGGGGGCTTGTTTGAGCCCATACAACGACTTGTGTAACAAGCAGATATGATCAGGTTTGGCTTGATCAATGAAGCCAGGAGGTTGACGCATGTAAACAGTTTCCTTGAGATCACCATGCAGAAATGCGGTCTGAATGTCCAACTGTCTGAGAGGCCATTTGTTGGTGACAGCAAGAGACAGGACAGTGCGGATAGTGACAGGCTTGATAACGGGGATGAAAGTCTCATGATAATCCACGCCATGCTGTTGGTGAAAACCTTTGGCCACAAGGCGGGCTTTGTACCTGGTAATCTTTCCATTTTCATCAGTTTTTTTTAACCGGTAAACCCATTTACAATTAACAACATTAGCATTAGGAACAGGGGGCACAAGTGTCCACGTGCTATTCCTATGAAGCGCAGCCAACTCATCAGCCATTGCTTGGCGCCATTCTAAAGACTTGTTAGCAACGGTAAAACTGGTGGGTTCAAGAGGTAGAGGTGAGGAAGCGGTGGCAGAGTAAGCGGCTTGGTTATATCGGTCAGGTTGTTTGGGATTGGGGCGAAGGTTGGAAGGCCGAGGTCGAGAGACGGTTGGAGGAGTATGGGTAAGTTCGGGCGGGGAGGCATCAGAAGGAGGTGGAATAGGTGGTGATGGTGAAGATTGTGGAGACGATTGGRGAGGTTCGTGAGGAGGAGATTGAGGAAGAGATTGAGGAGGGGTTGGTGGTGGAGGCGATTGTGGAGGCTCGGGTGGGAAACCGGGTGGTGGGTTAGGAAATATAGRGATGTAAGGAGGAGTGGATGGTGATGGTGGGGTTGGTGAAGGCTGGTAGGGAAACACATGTTCGTTGAAGCGAACATGTCGGACAATATAAATCCGGTCATTAGACGGGTCAAAACAGCGATAGCCGTGGTGAACGGTGCTGTAACCAAGAAAGACGCAGGGATTGGACCGGAATTCAATTTTGTGATGATTGTATGGACGAAGATAAGGGAAGCATTGACAACCAAAGACTCGTAAGAAGGAATAATCAGGTTTGCGTTTGAAGACTTGTTCAAAAGGAGATTTGTTGGAGGAGACACGAGAAGGGAGACGATTGATGAGGTATACAGCTGTTTCAAATGCAGGGGACCAGA